ACACTTCCAGGAAAGGGGCATCCACAGCTTCTCTGGGCAATCTGTTCCAGTGCCTCACTGTACTCACAGTAGAGAATTTCTTTCTAATATCTAATCTAAATCTACCCTCCTTTAGCTTAAAGCCATTGCCCCTTGTCCTATCACATGCCCTTGTAAAAATTTCCTCTCCAGCTCTCTTGCAGGTCCCCTTTTGGTATTGGAAGGCTGAAATAAGGTCTTCCTGGGGAGACCTTATGTCATATTATCACTAGGTGATGCAGAAAAGAAGTGGTGCAATTGGCACTCAGGGACTTCAGTTTAGTATTTATTATGTCTTAGTTGACATGCAAAATAAAGCAAATTGCCACATAGAAAGAAAGTTAAGTTCTAATATTATAGAGTTACTGTCTGTCCAGGCTTCCAAAAAAACAAGCATTCTGTAGAATATGTTGAATACATGTTTTGAACATGTTGTATTCCTTTTTAAAATAGCATCACTGTTATGCCTCTTGGTATGACTTTAGAAGTAAGTGTGCTCGTGGTGTACAATTCTACAGTATGATGGTTTAATAAACAGTCTCAGAAAAAAAAAATCTGTAAATATTCCTATTCATTTAGCAAAAACATAAATGAACCATATGAACAGACAAGAAAAAAAAGTATGTCAAGTACTGTATTAGATATTACATATACTTTTGAAAGTTCAGTATAAGGGATTTTTTTGAAAACTCCATAAAAGAGTTTGGCGGAGTAAACACCTGAAGAAAAGTACAAAGATCAGTGTTTACAGAGCCACTGTGCTGTCTACTCTTTTATATGAATCCGAATCATGGGTCTTCTACCACCACCACCTGCGACTCTTAGAACACTTCCATCAACGCTGTCTCCGTATAATCTTAAACATTCACTGGTCAGATTATGTGACTAATATGTCTGTTTTTGAAGAGGCAGCAGTTATGAGTATTGAGGCCATGTTGCTGAGAACACAGTTGCACTGGGCAGGGCACGTCTCCAGGATGAAGAACCACCACCTCCCTAAGATCTTGCTTTATGGTGAACTTGCCACCGGCTGCCGCAAGAGAGGAGCCCCGAAGAAAAGATACAAGGACTCCCTGAAACAACATCTCAGCCGCGGTCATATTGATCAACATCACTGGTCTACTCTGGCCTCCAGTCGGGAGGTCTGGAGACACACCATCTATAACGCTGCTAATGCTTTTGAGAACGCACGCAGGATCACTCTTGAGGAGAAAAGACAATGCAGAAAGAATCGTGTCCTGTCGATACCACCTAAGGAGTCTTTCTGCTGTGCCTTTTGCAACTGGACTTGTCTATCTCGTATTGGCCTTTTTAGCCACCAGCGCGCTTGTAGCAAGTGTTGGTAGAGTCCTTCCCAAATCTTTGTTTGCGAAACCTAGCCATGAATGATAAGGGATTGCAATAAATCTAGGACCACCTTCAAACAGCTTAAGCTCCAGTTAAATTTTTGAGTAGTAGTGCTCTCTATTAACAAGGCATCTGTGAAGGTCTAGAATTGGCCAATAGGAGACAACTGGCCCAGGGATTTAAGTAAAATTTAGGTCAAATGAATACATCTATAAAGCACAATTCAAAAAATGTCCAAAAAAGTAAATCCAAGATGCAGCTCGGCAGATTATATGCCCTATGATTCACCATGAGACAGTCATCTGAAGAGCAAACATTTCTGTTCAGAGAAGAAGATAAATTAATGGATATATATACATATACATGCGTTAAGACTTTTGGGAGTCCATTTCAGATCCTGTTTTTTTTTTGTCTTTTTTTTTTTTTGTCGTTGTTGTAGTTTATTTGTGGTTTTTTGTTTGGGGTTTTTTTTGTGTGGTTTTTTTGTGTGGGTTGTTTTTTTTTTTTTTTAAGACCAAATGCTGTTTTAAGATTTTGGACCAAGATTTTTTTATTATCTTATAAAAAAATAGTAATGAAAAGAGTTGCTCTAAAAATTATGTTAAATTTTTTGTTTAAAAGATATAATAAAAAATATTCGGGGCTTTAAAATAAGGAATATAATTTTAAAAATAAATATAAAACTAAAATATTGAGACCTCTTTATTTTCCCCAAACAGTCTCCATTTCTGGCTGAGTTTATTAGTTGATTTGATCCAAAGTTCCCTAGTTCCAGTCCCCTCCATAGTTCATTTACTCTACACAAAAGCTTATTTGCCCAGCTCTGAAGCCAGACTTAAATCTCACCTCTTTTGTAATTACTCCTTGGAAACAGACCAAATTTCTAAAATTTGCAAGTTTCAGAGAAAGTAGTTTGGTAAAAGAGTGTATTCTCAAGACCTGTATTTTTATTTTTCAAAGAAAAAATGTTAATTCTGTGATGCTTAGTCAGTGGTGCACAAGCAGTGGTAGTCAGTGGGTACAGTTAATATGTTGTAATAATGTAATATTTCATATCCTGACCTTTAAAAATTGATGTTATATATATCCTGCACATGGTAAATCTAACTCTTTCACAAAGCTTGGAAGAGTTCCTGAAGCATTTTGTTCAATATTAATGTGTGGTTTGTACCAGCAAAATGGAGACAGAGATTTTATGGAAAAGAATGAGGTTTCCAGAAATGTTAATTATTTTTTTTGCTTTGATATTCAAAATATAATGTTGGAAAGAGTCTTAATTTTTTTCCATTTCAGAAAATGAAAAGCATTGAGGTACTGAAGCATTTCTCTTATGAGGAAAGGCTGAGAGAGTTGGGCCTGTTCAGCCTCAAGAAGACATGACTGAGGGGAGACCTCATCACTGTATGTAAGTATTTGAAGGGAGGGTGTCTGCTCGGTGTTGTCAACCAATAGAGCAAGAGGCAACAGGCAGAAACTGATGCACAGGAAGTTCCACCTCAATATGAGGAAGAATTTCTTTACTGTATGGGTGACTGAGCACTGGAAAATGTTCCCCAGAGAGGTTGTGGAGTCTCCCTCACTGGAGATATTCAAGAACCATCTGGACGCAATTCTGTGTAATGTGCTCTAGGATGACCCTGCTTCAGATGGAAGATTGGACCAGATCCCTTCCAGCCTTATCCATTCTGTGAATCCATGAATTTATGTCTCTTCAAAGTGCTTTCAACTTGAGACTCAAAAAACAAAGCCAGATTTTACAAGATTTTCCAGACCATAGTAACCCTAGACATATTTTCCCCACAATGTTACCACATTTGGGTTTTATTTAATCAAGTGCACAACATTTGCGTCTATTATAATGATCATCGCTTTACTGTGTGGCATCAACCATACTGAGCTTTGCAACAAGGACACAACCTGTTGCTTATAGCCCAGTTTGGAGTGGTGCAGTATAGAAAGTCAAGTCTGCTCCCGTGTTAGAAAGGTCTTGTTTCAGTTTCCCTGTACATACTGGGCATTTCTATGCAGCTGACACATGCAAGGGGATGCAGGTAATCTTACTGCCATTCTTTCGTTGTGATTTCCAAAATAGAGAGAAGGTAAAGCAAAACAGTGCTGTAGAAAAAAATTTTCAGGCACATGTTTGATCAGTGCATCCCTGAAGTGCCTTAAGAGTCTCACTCTGCTCTCTTCTTTCAACTATTGTAGATGGATTATTATTTGTATTAATTAATAAAATTATTAATATTTATTGTTATTTTGGCTGTATGTGCAGAACTATAGAATGTATTACATTTGATTATTAAAAAAATCATCTACCATCTTTTTCAGACTGATAAAAATAATGTTTAATTCTAAAATAACTGACAGTGAATTAGAGGCAGAGGTGCTACAGTGAAATGTCACTGTAGCAATCCTCACAGAGGAGAAATAATAATTAAATGCCTTTCAAAGACTAGGACCCAAGTCCCAGAGATACTTCATTTAAAAGCTGTACTTTCTGAAGCCCACTACGAAGTACTTATAGTATAAAGACTGAATGGCAGACAAACTAAGCATTAACAGTCTAAAGTAAATGAAAATAATTGAAGGAAGGAATAGAATGTACAGTGCAATTTATAGAAACCTAGGATGAAAATAAATTACATACATTGGTGACTATTTAACATTTAACATCTTGTGTCTGTCATGTATTTGCTTTATTTACTGTGAAAACTAGAAAGAAAAATGATCATAAAATATTTCAGAGACAATGTAAATGGAAAAAAATGTTTTCCCAGGGTAATGGACTCCTCCAGCTATTAGGCAATGAAGCAAAGTAGAAACATTTATTTTCCAGGCAGAAGGCAGTACTTCTGAGACAAATTTCTATGATAATGAACATAAAGCAGGCATACAATATAATTAATCCAGAGGTGTCTGATTTTATACAGCAAACACTGAATGAGCAGTGGTGACTGCTCTCCACAGCCTGGCTGTTGTACCCAAGCCCCATTTCTCATGCTGGTGCTGCCAGGGCTCAGTGTGCACAGTGTCCATCTCCAACTGCATATTGACTCCTGGAGACCGAGGCAACTGGAAAGTGACTCTCAACCTGCTGGCTGAAAATGTGTGTTTCCTTTCTGACAGCAGTGATGTTTCTAGCATGAGGGGCAGGCTCAGACAAACTGCTTTTTACTGCACAAATGTCCTTTATTTGCTTCCCGTGAATGAAAACCTTTGCGAGGGAAGAAACTCTAACCATCCTTCCCAATGATTTTCATAGGTGACATTACTTTTCCCCACAGTTATTTTTTTATGCAACTGCTGCCCACCTGCCCATTTGTCTCAGAATGATGCTTCCCCCAAACCTTTCAAACACCAATTCAGACAGGTTTTTAACCCCCTCCTCATGCATCCTCTGTGCTTTACTCTGGGTACAACTGCACTTTGTTTTCCTAGTGACTTCTCTCAGTTTGATTCTCAGCATCTTTCAGTCTCAGATTTAATGTATTTTTGATGATACAGAGAGTATGAAGAACTCCCCGACTTCCCCACCTTTCTCAACTCTTCCTCTTTCTTTAATATTTGTTCAACATTTTAATATTCCTTTCATGAATTATCATATTTAAATGTCATCTCTGGCTAGGTTGGTTTTTTTTTTGTTTGTTTTTTGTTTGTTTGTTTTTAACACCTGAACATGTATTTCTTCATCAATTTCAGAAATATTTGCTTTTACCATGGGAGTAATTCCTTTCTATTCCTTCAGAAAAACAGTCACTAATCTAAATATAATAATCTAAAAATATAACTAGGTAAACACATTTTTAATTTTTTTAATGAGCAGTTCATTGAGATATTGTTGCTATAAAGCATTCAATGTCAAATAAGTACATGCAACCTGCTGATACTTTTAAAAATATGCAGGATAAACTCCAGGAAGTCAGAATTAAATAAAAGTTTCTGTCACTCAGAGCACTAGCACTAGATCCTAGACAGATCAGGCTCAACTTGTCAAAACTTCCCCTTGTGATTTGAAGTACATGTATCTGATGCTGGGACTATTTGATCTTAAAATGTCACTAGGGCTATTTGTGCTGGGTCATATAACTTCAAACAAAGTATTTTATACTCTTCTCTCTCCTTTCCTCTTATCTGATAGTGGATGGCTCTGCTAATGCTTAATGTAAAACCATTAAGCACCACTTTTTTTTTTTTTTATCTTAAATCAGTGCTTTCCTAAATCGATGCTATTATCTACTTTAAAAATGGATATTGTGGATATGTATATAATAATAGTAGTAATAAACACTGCTAGACTTCCCAAAAGTGCCTTTGCCACTTAACATTTTCATTACCATTACTCTGTCTTACGGCCACAGTTAATAAATACAGAAATACCTGGGGATTCACACTACGTCTTTATTCCTCTTGTGTGTTTCATAGTTATCACTCAAGTTATGTTAAAGCATTTCATGAGAATAGTAGGACTCTGGCATCAGCTTATGCAACCTTAAGAGTCAACTTTTCATTATTTTCTAGCCAGATTTGTTTATTTGATTCAATCTTATTGGGAACGTGAAGGTTTATGAGTATTCATACGACAGATGCAGGTACCCGACCTGCCTCTGCTTGCCCTAGGGTGAGAACTGGAAGCATTGGGTAGCAGAGATGTAGACAGAGCTGGGATAACTTCATGCAAGCCAGGTCATGACTTGAAGTGTGTAGTAGTTCCAGCGAGGTGAGTCTATGCTATTTACAGGTACTGGATGAGAAATCTGTACAGCACTGCTGGTTTACCACCTCAGGTTTCAGTGAAGTTAGGGAGACAGCGCTGTTAGGGGAATTGCATTTGGTGCAGGCATTGAAACATGTAGGGGATAAAACCAAGACCACAATATCCTCGTCTAGCTGAAGTCAATAAAAACAGTTCAGGAAAAGGTGAACATTCTGAGAAACTATGAGTCTAATATAAGGCATGTTGCAATGGTAAAGTGTGTGCTATGCTTTCCTTAAAAATCAGGAATTTACGTGTAATTGTCTATTTTGGACTTTTTGTTTCAATTTGAACCTGTGTTCTGAGTACTCACCACACTCATAATTTAAGACTCATCCCTTTTAAACACAGTAATGTGTCCTCAGCCCTAGAGAAAACCAGCTTTCTTGCCTGGCTGAAATACAGAGGTGTAAGAAATCAAATATTTTCTTAGATTGTGACTAGTATTTGTGCAACAGAGAACTCACACTGAATTGAAGATCATCACAAGTAAGTAGAAAGAAAAGGTCTCCATATGCATGTTACCTTCATTTAAGGAAATGAAATCTAAGCTACACTTGAAGTCACTGGAAGTGAACCTTGGAAATTCTGAACCTCTGACTTCATTTACAGAAAGCTCAGGAAAACATGTAGACTGCTGTAGTCACCCTTACCTGTTGTTTCAAATTTTCCACTTATTTAGATAGGAAAAAGAAAAGGAAAAATTCACATCAACTCAGCTCTTGCAGACATATTATTTTAATGGTGCTCACTGACAATATTTCAAAAGCTGTGTAGGTTGGTAATATCTACATAAGAGAGAACAAAATTTCAAAACAATCATTATTGTCCCAGGCTAGAGCTTCCTTTCCTGAGAGACACTAAGATTGGCCATCAAAGGCCTCTGAAGATAACTGAGGAAACACTGCTCTGCAGTTCCTCATGTCTACAGACCTTTTGTTTTGTACTACTGTGGCCATGCTTATAGTTTCCATGGTGCCCAGGAGACCTAAGCAAGGGTGACAATCCAATTCTGTACCTCTAAATAGCTACTTGGAAAAACAACTTTGGTTCAGAACTTGTTGAGAAGAGATTATAAGATAAGCAAAGCTGTTTTCAATACTGATGTGTGAGCATACTCTCACAAATACACTCACCATACACTCACAAATACACTATTATTCCATCCAAAAAGGTGTTTTCCATGCAAATAAAGAAACATATATATCCACATCAATATAAGGAGCCATGGTCTATCTCCTGCTTCTGAAAATGCAGCTTTATGTACATGAAGGTGGAAAACAACAGCTGTGATGGAAGGAATTTGGAGAACAAATGAACACCAGACCCAGCTGTAGATTTGCATTCTTTGACATCTGGTGCTGACTAGACATGGGAATTCTGTGACAACATGAGATTTTATGCATCTGTCAGCTAAATCTAGCAATTCTCTTTGGGACAATTGCATGGATGAGGTTGATCTCAGAGAGCTGCTTTAAGCCAGAACAAAATAAAGGAAGAAGACTGTATCTGATTTGTACCCGCAATTTGCAGAGCTGGCTGGTTGCTTGAACTGGGATCACACATCTGGTCTGCAAGAATTTGCAAGATAGCTTCAACAGGAGACCCAACGTGTTTGGCTTTAGAAGTGCTGTGACTGGGGGCTCCACTGAAGCCTGTTGGTGCATAATGGAAAGGATTAAGGGTGTGTGTGCATGTCTATGTGAGGAATTCAGTCAAAGGACAAAGACCAGTTTAAAAAATGGATTTTCAACACTTTTCTAAAGATTATTGAAATATAATAAACCCAGATATTCAAGGAAAAGAAAGGTTGTGACCATGTGAAACAACCCCTGATCTGACATAATCTTGCTCTTAGTTTTGTAATTTTACCTCATTCCATCAGAGCTGATTTTTTTTTTTAATATGAGACAAAGTCTTGTGCCTTATGCCAACCCAGTTTTTTCTCACCATGATTTAGATGCAAACAAAGGAACAAGAGTTTGAGCACCAAAGACATTACACATCGTTATACATTTTAAATCCTCAATTTAGGATATATTGTCGGACACTACACATTGTAAACCATCACTGCAAAATGAAATCAGATCTCTAATTCATACAATTTTGTTTTAATCTGTACTGCACAGTAACTGTCATTCTTAAGGGAGCTACTTAATTTAACTAGATTCTTCTTTGTATGACTACAGGATAAACAGATTTACATGAAAGCGTTTAACCTCTTTCCTCATGGATAACCAGGAGTCGGTGTGGACTGAGGCCCGATGGTGATGCTGTTAAGTCTGTAACTCTGACCTTTCTACCTCAGACATCTGAGACCACACGTGGCAGCAGCACTAACAAATGTGCGCTTTCCTGATGAACTCATGTTTCACAGTCCCTGCTATGGTATATTGCATAATCTGGGACGATGTAAAATGATTGGCAGTGCGGAAGATGAAATAAACCCCCTTCCTTCCTTCCTCATCTTCCTCTCAGATAGGCTGCTTGAATTGCTTTTGTTTTGGGATGACCCTTGTTCCAAGTGATTTCTGCAGCAAAAGGAAAGCAAAAAGCTTTTTTCAGCTGCAGATTGTAGATCATGTATCTGGACTCTTCAGACATAAATCAACAGGACCATTTTTATGCTGTTGCCTAGTCCCCATTACCTGCACATACTAATCAAATTTAAGCCATTTTCAGACACAGTGATTGAACAAAGACTTGTGTTAGAATTTTTTTTAATAAGTGCCATTGTACTTTTGCCATGAATATGTGAAGAAATACCCTGAACTGCTTTGGCTCCCAGTTGTCTCTTTGCAAAGTAATCTTTGTGCTACACATGTGGTGGCAAATATTTCTGTAATACAGCCCCTGACTCCTTTAATTACATCTTATTACCCCATGAAGGATAAAATGCAACTAAAGCTCTTAAATATACCATATTAATGACGGCTATAAATGTAGATATTACCTTAGCAGTGCTGTAATGGAGTCTGGTATGCTGAGTAGAAGTCCACAATTTTCTAAAAATACACTCTTGTAACTGTGAAAGACACACAGGTGGAAAGTCACCAGGAGAAAATAGGCTTGTTTGACAACTTGTGGCTGACAAATGTTAAAACCAAATTTCTAAGAAATCCTCTGTTGGTTATAAATCAGGCATGAGAGAAACTTTTCTCCCTCAAGACAACTGACAGGTTTTTGCTCTGGACATGGGTGCAGCTTCTTAAAAGACAGAATGTATTTACAGCCTATAAGATACCTACTATTTTTAATACTGACTATCAACAAGCAAGGAATGGAATTTTTTATTTATATTAGAAAGTGTTGTCATGTCTGTGTGTTTTGTGTGTGTGTCCATGCATGTGCATGTAACCCTTGCACATACTATGCAACCTGTGTGGGGCCATGATAGGTGGTATTCTAGTCATGTAATTAATTAAGTCTAGCTCACCCCAACCTGCAAGTCCCAGGGTGTGCACCCATCAACCTTTCTAAAACTGGAGCACAAGATTACAACACTGACATGCCTAAGCAAGGGACTGACATTAACCTTGTGTTACATTTAAATCATTCCAGGCAGTCTGTTTTGAATTTCTAAATGTGCTGTACTGTTCTAATGAGTTAATTCATTTGGTATCCATTTCCTCCTGTCAGCTGCTTTTGGAAAATAAATTGTGCATTGTTATCTTGGCCTTGTCTGTCCTATTAATGGTTTAGGAAATGCAGCTGAAGATTATCTGGAGTTTTCTATGGCAGAGGTTGACCTATGGCAATGGGATGATCAATCACACCTTGAAGGAGTCAGAATCTGCAAAATGCTTATTCATTTTGTTTTCTGTCTACAGTGTAGATTTTTTAAAAAATATTTTCAACCGTTTGTATAGTTGAGTAAAAACAAAAGCGTTGGCAAGAATTTTGTAAAAACATAAGTCTCAGTGAGTATACGTCATCCACCCAGAGAAGGTGAATATAGCAATATACTACAAATTTCACATTTGCCAGCAGTATATTAGAAGTCTTCTCTATTCCCTTCTTGTTTGATATTAGTGATTAAATTGACAATACCATGATGATTTCCATGTGCTTTCATAGTGTTGTTAATGTAGGTGTGAGTGGGGAAGGATATAATTCATCTACCCCCCAGTCTCTGCCAGCAGTGGACTCACAAAAGAACATTGCCTAGGATCCTGGGGTTACCTGAATGCTCCTCTCACCTGGCTCCATGGTGCATCCTTCACCTGTCAAGACCTGTCTCCTGCTTCCCAATACTCTGTTAAAAACTGTATCATTTAATTCACTCTGGTGAGAAACACTACTGTTAACTGGTCCTGGCTGAGTTTAGAAAACAAAGCTTGCTGGGGTGCCTCTGATTCCTGTTTAAGAGCTGGAAAAACTCCCACAAGAGTGGGAGCAGTAGCCTTCCCTGCTCTTTCCAATCCCCCCACCATTTCCAAAATCTCACAGTTTTTCTTTACAAATCTTCCTCAGTTTCCTAGCAAGCATTTCAAATCTGCTCTCCTAGGATTATTTCAGCAACTAATTTTTAGAAATACCTAGATACCTTTGCCCCCTCGTGTTCTGGCTGTGTTGCCTGTGTCAGCTTTTTGCACTGCGCTGTGTGCTAACTCCACTGCGGCACACAGTACAGCATTACTTGTGCCCATACTTTCCCTTCTCTCCAATCACAATTAGATCATCTCAAAATATCTGTACTGCTCAGAGGCTCTAGATTTGATGTGAGGGTTCATAGATTAATATAGCACAACTAGTTTACCTTGGGATTTAAACAAGCTACTAATTTAACAGCCCTGAATCTTTCTGGCTGTCCCTGTGCTGAAGTCCTATGCTTCCCATAGGATCTGTGGGAATATGAAGTGTATAAAAAGAAAAAGAAGCACAAAATTCTTAGCCCTTCAGCCCTTTATTTCCCTGTGACTTTCAGACAGTTCTCACTTGTACACTGGAGAGACTCAGGCTTACTTTTTTATGAGAAACAGATTGAATCCATAGGTTTTCACTGATCTTAGTGCAAGTGAAGTTCATGTCCCTGAAGAATCCCCAAAGAGTCTAACACATGGTACCAGGAATAGTCAGGACCTTGTACTTGAGTCTGTTTTCTCCTGCACTTCTGTTCTCCTCAGCAGGTGGTGGAAAGACCTCTTTATTTTCCCTCATTACGCTCTTGATTGTTGCAAACAACTTTGACCATTCTTGCCCTACTTTAACTTAAGCCACTGAAGTGGAGCCCTGAGTCACCCCTTAATCCTGAACTGAGAGCTGACCAGGAACAGAAGCTGCTTACACAGTAGTGAGGAAATCCATTCTCTGAGAAGGAATTCTCTGCAGCCACATGTGACATTGCCTGAACACAATCCTCATCAGCACTGCTGTGATGCACAAATCCAAGCTGGGCCAAAAAACTTGCACCCTATGCACATCTGAATTTCCATTTTCCCAGAGTGTTTCACAGTGAACATAAAAAACCCCTCCCTTGGAGCTGCTGGTGACTCTTGGATGGCCCCATATGCCTTGGGTGGCCTGCATGTGCCTGGCTTTTTGCTGCTGTCTGTGGATAGCTCATATTTTCCTTGGTGTCAGAGAGCTGCAGCTGCACATCTGCAATACACTCCAGGGAGAAATGGATCACAGTTTGATGTCTGTAAATAGCTTCTCAAATCCAAGATTTTTGAAAGAAAATACTGTCAATGGTTTTATTTCAACTTTATCATTATTTTTGCAACTTAGTTCAATTTTAACAACGACAACAAATGTCCAGTATTCTCTATAGTATAAATTGGTGCAGTCTCACTGAAGTCTGTGCAATTGCAACAAATATACCAGAAGAGAATTTGGCCCATGAAGGGAAAAGAAGCCTTGATAATGCTATACTCTCAACATGAACATTCATTTTCCTTATTGCCTCTCCCAAGAGATCATTTTCTCTGGTCAGAACTCCAATTGCAATTTTTGCTATCAAGAATATTGCTTTTAAACAGGAAAATAAAGAGTAAACTACGATAATTTTCAGTAACTATACTATTATAGCCTTAATTTTCAAGTGAAAACATTACCAAACTCAATTTCAGATAACATTTTTTTATGTGCAACACACTGTTGATATAATAACTTCTATTTTAGGTTGCTAGCAAAGAGAAGAACAATGTGACCCATTTAAAAACTGGCTCACAGAAAAATATTAACAAGCCATTTATCACTACTATTTAATTTTGGTGATAAGCACCTTTTGATAGAAACATTTCATTGTTATAAAATTAGCACTAGCATAGAACATATTTGACTATAACACATGCGCTTTGCAATAGTACTGAGAAATGGACTTTCTGTTTGTTGCCAGTTATTTGGAAAAGAAATAAAAAAATAAAAAAGAGGAAAATGCTCACCTTTGAATTCTTCAGTAGATGGAGCCTGAATTTTGAAATCTCTAGAGTACTGCAAAGGCTGTATACAGGCTCTTTGGGAAGGACAGGTCAGGACGGTGAGAAGGAGCAGTTGCCCTGTTTTAGAGAGAGAGGTAGGAACGTACGGACCTCTACCATGAGCCAGCTGAGAGCTTGTGAGTCTGGGCTGGCTGGCAGGTTGATGCGGGTGACATCGGTGTGGGTGTCTGCTACAGACTATCTGATCAGGTAGAAATAGATCAGATCTCCTTCAGATAGCCAGAAGAAATCTCATATTTACTAACCCAGGTACTCACAGAAATCATCGACAACCCTGATATATGTTGGAGGAGCAAGACAGCAGGACAAAAGCAACCCAGGAGGTTTCTGGAATGCACTGAAGGACAATTTCCTGACACAGGTGACTAAGGAGGTGAAGAAAGGAGATGCTTTGCAGGACCTGACTTTTACAAACAAGAAGAACTGGTTGGTAATGTGAATGCCAGGAGCAGCTCTAGCCACCATGACCATGGAGTAGTGGAGCTCAGGATCCTGAAAGCAGTCAGCAAGTTAACAACCCAGGACATCGGGAAAGCAAACAATGGGCCTGTTCAGGGACCTTCTTGGAAGAATCCTGTCTCAAGACACCATTCTGCAGAATAGAGGAGGAGTTCAGGAAAGCTGACTGATTTTCAAGTATCACCTCTTCCAGACTCAACAGTGATCAGTCTCCACCTGCAGGAAGTAAAAGAAAAGTGGAAGGAGGATGAACAAGAAGCTCAAAGATAAAAAAGAAATGTTCAAGAGGTGAAAGTAGAGTTAGGTGATATAGGAGGAATATAGAGACATTGCCGAAGTATGCAGAGATCAGGTTAGGAAAGTCAGAGCCCACTTGGACTTGAATCTGGTAAGGGATGTGAACAGCAAAAAGACAGGTTTCTACAGGTACTTCAGCAGCAAAAGGAACACTGGGGAAAATGCGGGTCCACTGCTGAAGGGGGAAGGGGACATGGTGACAGAGGACGTGGAAAAGGCCAATATACTCACTGTTCTTTCCTCATCGGTCTCTACTGGTAAGACCAGCCTTCAGGAATCTCAGATCCCTGAGACGCGGGGAAATATCTGGAATAAGGAAGAATTACCATTAGTTGAGAAGGACCAGATTAGGGAACAATTAGACAGCTGGGCTGAACACAAGTCCATGGGACCTGATGGGATGCAACCACAAGTGCTGAAGTAGCTAGCCAACGTCACTTTGAAGCCATTCTTGAAATGCCATGGCCATCAAAGGAGATTCCTGAGGACTGGAAGAAAGCAAATGTCACTCCTTTCTTCAAGAAGGAACTACAGGCCAGTCAGCTTCACCTCATTCCCTGGGGAAAGGATTGAATAAGTAGTTGCAAACATGTGAAATACAAGTGATTGGGAGTAGTTAGTATAGGTCTAGGAAGAGAAAATCATTATTGACCAACCTGGGAGCCTTCCGTGGCAAAGAGACTGGTCTGGTGCATGAAGAGAGAACAGTGGATGTTGTAGTCTTGAGTACAGTAAGGTTTATGACACTGGCTGCTGTAACATCCTCAATGGCAAATACACACTAGGGTACAGCCTAGGTAAGAGGACTGAGCAGTGAGACTGAAAATTGCCTGAACTGCTGGGCCGTTCACATTGTGATCAACCACACATAGTCCACCTGGATACCACTCACCAGAGGTGTACAAAGGAGATTGATACTGGGGCCAAAACAGTTTAACATCCTCTTAAGTTACCTGGACAGTGGGACAGAGCGCACTCTCAGCAGGTTTCCAGATGATACAAAACTGGAAGGAGTGATTGCTATACCAAATGTTTGCAAATGGAGGAACAGGCTGACAGGAACCTCTTGAAGTTCAGAAAAGGGAAATGCCAAGTCAAAGGAACAACTGCAGGTACCTGTAAAAGCTGTAAGGTAAACCAGCTGAAAAGCTGTACTTGGAACAGTGTTGCCAGCAGGTCAAGGGAGGTGATCCTGCCCCTCTGCTCAGTGCTGTTGAGGCCACACCTGTAGTGCTGTGTCCTGTTCTGGGTTATCCAGGACAAAAGAGATGCAGAGCTACCAGAAAAAGTTCAGTGCAGGGCCAAGAAAATTGTTAAGGAATTGGAGCATCTCTTCTATGAGGAAAGGCTGAAATAGTTGCAGTGATTCAGCCATGAGATAAGAAGGCTCAAGGGGATCTCATAAGTGTGAATAAATACCTGATGGAGGTGGATAAAAAGGATAGAGCCAGGATCTTTTCACTGGTGCCCAATGACAGGACAAGAGACAACAGGAAATTCCACTTAAGAAAAAAAATATTTAATATGTAGGTGGTTAAACACTGGCACAGGTTGCCCAGAGAGGTAGTGGAGTCTCCATCCTTGGAGACATACAAAGCTCAATGGGACATGGGCTTGAGCAAATCTGCTTTAGCTTTCCTTGCTTTGAACAGGGAGTTTGGACTAGTTGGTCTCTAGAGATGCCTTCCAACCTCAGCCATTCTGTGAAATCATTGCTTATATAATAAAACAAAAAGTGTTATCTCTGCAGGAAGCCCCATGTCATAGTCATGGATGCAGTCATGTTCTTCTGCTGCTAATAAGTACTGTTAAAAAGAATTCATGTATAAACCTGCAGGGTGTAGGTGCATGTAGAATCCTGACATCCAGGGAGACAGCAGGGACCTTTTGGCACCTGATTATGGGGTAGATGGGGGATGCTTTGCTGCTCCTCATCAGCTGCATTCCTTAGAGGCTGGGCTTTCCCACCCACAGGTAAGGAGCATAGTGAATGTCATGACCTTGGTCAGTCCAGTATGCTGGAGAGAAAGAGCAAGCTGCTGGTGGGGAACAGCTGCCTGTACTGGCACTGTGGTACCTGGGGAGCCCTTCTCTCAAGGAGAACCTGCAGCTGATTTTTCCAGCCTACTTTCTAGACCTTTTGTGCTGATCCCACAAAGCACAAAGGGAATACAGCAGGGCTGGGAATATGTGCGAAAAAATATCTCTCCTGGCCTTTTAGATACTGAACAGAAGGAGTATGTAACAGCATGACTTTTATACCAATTCCATAGAGATAAAATCACTTTTGAAAGCAGTTTTTTGGTTGTTTAGGAAAACTAATTTTCTTCTCAGTTTTGAATTAGACAGTCATTTTATTTTCTCTTCAACTTCCTATTATTGTTGTGACTATTATCAGGAATGAATTATTCTGAACATCAAGCATAAGAAGAAAGCTATACTTTTTTTTTTTTTTTTTTCCATCCTTTTAATACTAAGTTTTGGCCTGGATCACTTACTCTGTTTAGGATTAATGCATTCATGAGCCTTATTTTCAGTAGCTATGAAGAAAAGACATTTTAAAGCAAATCGAGGTAGTTGATAACTTCCCTAATGCATTTTTAATGTATGAGACATTGTAAGGACAGAAAAGCATTCTGTGCTCTGCAATACAATTTGACAACAAAAAAAATTAAAAAGAGAAAGTAAGATAAAAACAAGCTAACAGAATGTGTGGAAGAGGGAAAGATACAGCCATGCTATTAGTGTCCAGTTGGCTAATTTTATTGGGATTTCTGGCATGTGAAAAATGAATATGATAACTGATGGGGGGATGAGGATGTTGTGATATTAATAAGAATGTAATTCCATAAGAAATTGTCTTGTGATTTATAGCTAATAACATTACTGAAATGAGGCTAATGAAGGAAATCAATCCTATATAATACATTTTTGTAAGTCTGATTCTCAAAGCATTTCTGATGGAAAAAGGAATAGATTTATCTTTTCCTCCCAGTAATCCCTGCTGACATCAGAAGTCTCACTAAAATCAATTGACAATCAGACTGGGGAGTAAATAAACCTCTGTGGATGCACTTCTGCTCTGCCTTGCTTCCGTAGTTCCTCTCTCATGACAATGTCCTTAGAGCCACATTTTCTGTAAGAAAACTGCTACAGCGCATCTGGAGCGCAGCTACAGACCTTATTGCTGTACTAATAGACTTCACCTGTTATGAAAGTTACCTTTGGTCTTGCTGACTTGGGTACTAACCACAAAGGATTTGCTGAGCTATACCAGTCTTTCCAGACCTTTGGGTATTTATGCAATAAGCTGATCTACACTGCACCCCTTACTGCTTGGTTTTACTGATATTAGTGCTGGAGAAAACTAAAGGAAGGCAAGCTTTACTGTACTTACCCATTCTGTAGAAACACTTCAGGCTGCAGTGCATGTTTTCCCACCCCAGCCTGTCTTCGTCTAAGTAGGTGAAATCAGCTTCAGTGAGATTTAACAGATCCCTGAAAATGTACAGTTATGCTCTTCTTTGTGTTCCTTGTCTACTTCATTACCCTTGGAAAGAACAATGTGATTGATAATATGTATCTTATAGCATTTGGAAGATCACCTGTTTCTTCAGAGAACTTTCATGGGATATATTTAAAACCACAGATGTTTTAGAAATACTGGCAGTAGTTTGTTTTGCTTCAAGTACAGACTCACAGTTCTCCTTGTGAGTGAATGTCTACAATGAAATTACTGATTTTGTGAATAATTTTGTGGATGATGAAGTGTGACTGCTACTCTTGGTAGACTATGCAGAGAAGCTTCCCCACATATTTATCTCCTCAAGCTCAACACTTTCCTCTTCAGGATTCTGGAAATGGGCATACTACCAGAGGTTTCTGTCTCTGTCACCATGCTTATTTAAGTGGCAATAACCTTTCTGATGTCAGTGAGGCAGGATAAAATCTTATGTAAACAGCCAGTGCTTACATATTTCCTCATCTCAAGAACCTTGCTGATATCTGATTTAACACCTGACATATCCACCTCACCCAAATACTTAAGTAGGCACAGATATGTGACAGCAGGGAGGTATGATGTGAAGAAAAAGATGCAAATGTAAAGTTGGATTAAAGGTGTAGTGCTAAGGACAAGATCATGCCACCTATTTTTGTGTGCAAGGTTTTTAGTTCTATATCTTACTTTCAAGCAACTGTTGAGGTTACTAGCATGAGGTACAGGAGATTATAGGCAAAAATTAATTTGTACTATCAGATACTTGAAAGAACAGAAGTCTTATCTGAGCTTGGTGAGAACAGTCTGAGATCTGACAGGGATGGAGACACACCTGAGACACAGCAAACAAGAGAATGGCTACTGGTTTCAAAAGAAAAACAGTTGATTATGTTTAGTCAGAAAAAGAAAGATTTTAGTTAGAATCCTGACTGGATATTTGTGTTTGAGGTTACTTATAAAACTACTTACCACAGAGCAGACAAGATCCTGGCACTGTTGTCCTGTCATCACTGTAAATTCATTAATGTTTCACTGAACTGTTCTAATGCCATTAGACTGCCCTGTGTCACATGTGTGGTGTCTATGAATGCTCTCTTTGTCTCCCTGCATAGCAGGGAAGGTGAAAGGCACTGGAATTGAACTGATTCTTCAAGCCAAGGATCTTTGTAATCATAAATAAAATAAGTCCCTTCAGCTTAACATTCATTGCCTCCTTTCTCATTTAGAAACAGATGTCAGGAGAAGGCAGGTGCAGAGTGCCTCTTTCAGCTGCTTTTGAAGGAAAGCAAGAAGTGAATAAGTCATAGGGAGCTGTGTTGTATGTATCTTTAGAAAAGCATTTATAGCTTCTAGATACATTTCTGCTAATGAGGGTGTGAGATGTCAGCTCTTTGGAAGATACAGTATGTGCTGTCACACTCTCATCAACTCTGATGGATGGAATGTGTATGGGAATATAATTTAAACATGAGGATATAAGGAATTATTTAAGTTACAAAAGAAAGTACTTAAGAAAAAAAAGTCTAATACTAGAAAAAATAGCTGCCTTAGTTGAATGCTATATAAACTACAAAATTTCTTAAAACTGGAACCCCCCAAATGGGTGCTCTCCATACATTGCAGTACTGTCTGAATCTGCATATAAATACCTTGAAGAGTAGCTGTAAAGTTACAATTTACTGTAGTGTCTAACTCCTGAACCTAATGAAGGCCACAAACTGAGTGTTGCCAATCATATTATTGGTGTTAAAGCCAGCAGCAATGTGATCTGAGAGCATGTTATATTTGGGTGTGTGTTAAGAATCTGACTACTGCCATTTTCCCCCTTAGGCAATCCAACTTCCACACAAAACATTGTCATTTTTTAATGAGAGCAAGATCAGACCGAATACGATCCATAGCTTCTGTGAGATGCCAGACTGAGGCGAGTAGAAAGGAATAAACAGCACCATAGTCTCTCTCTCTTCTCTCTCCACATCTATAGAGTGAAGCTGGTTTGAGGTGGGTTGAAAACATGCTATTTTTTGTAAAGAGCTGGCACAATATGCCCTCATTAGCAAAGCATGCCCACTTTTATTGGCCACTCTTGCAGTTCCTCATTTGAAACACCATGTTGCAGGGATTTTGCGGAGTGTTTGGGATTTTAACTACGAAAGGATAAACTGACCAGAAAAACTCCTGCAGCTTTTTGGGCTTGATGCACTGCACAGTCTGGCATGGATTTCACTTTCCCTGTGACACTGAAAAAGCACTAATCTTCCTGTCACAGAACAACTTACTTTGATGCCCTATCCTGGTGAAGATGCTGTGTGATAAACAAGCTTTTAATTTTGTATTTCCATACTTTTACTTAGTAAATTGCAGCTTGACAAAGCTGTGTGTTGATGACTGTGCCAAAAGCTTAGCCCTGAACAGAGATGGTAAAAAGAGGGAAGGACAGAAAGTGCTCACGGGAAGTGCACAGAAGAACTGCTTTAGAAGCTTTGTCAGCGCTTTGATTTAGTGCCATCAGTCTCACTGCAGCAGGCCTTCTACTTAGTGCTAATGCAGACAGTTCAGGAAAACTTCGAAGAAACTATAAATGATGCCTTGCAACCTGAAAAGAATCTTTTGCCTCCCTGAATTCTAAGGAGAGATCTGCCAAAGCAAAAAGCATGCCGGGGACTCAAGAGGAGCCTGCCATTTCATATGATAGGGTCTCTCTGGAAAGAACTGTAGTGTAATCAAAGTATATAAGTAGTCAAATCTCAGCATTAGATTTTCAGGGAAAAGCCCTGCTGGCTCCTCCTATATGACACCAGTCCACGTGTGTCAGATATAACTGCTGGGAATGGGCCATCTTCAGCGTGAAGGGAATACCCAGTGCTCAACTGTATGCTACCATACCCAAGTCAGAGCTTTTCAGGGCCAAAATGAGATTTTAAGTGTTTAACAGTAATAACAATAATAGAATTTAGGAGAATTTAAGTTTGATATAAGAAATACTGACCCATAGCTGGGAGCTAAAAATAAGCTATTTCAGAGAAAGTGGTTAAACACAGTTAAACAGTTTGGGAAGCAGCACAGGAGTGTGTAAGTAGACGAGGATCTTTTCTGCTTACCTGAAAGTCGTCTTGTTCCCTGAAACATTCACAATAATCCTTCAGTATTGTCCTGTCTCCTGGTGCTATTCTGCCTCTTTCCCAGATGAAGAGAGGCTGAGTTTATCTGCTTTGCTGATGTGGATAAAACAAAGCACACTATGCTATGAACTAACTCCCTTCCTGTGGAACAAATATTAGGAAGCAGCTGAAGAGATATTTAAGACTCCTGTGTTTCAATGTAAACCAGAAAATGCCTGTTTTCAGATTCTTAAACAGAAGGGTAGAGACTGTGAAATACAAAATCTTACTGAAAGAATAAAAAGTCTGATATTAAACTCTTCTTTTTAGTGAAGAAGTCTCCTCTGACGCTTTCCTCCAGGCTCTTTTCATATAAAACTGCTGTACATGGATGTATTGCAGGACATACAAACTATTAGGTGAACTCTTAGAACGACTGGATAAATTATTACATGGAAATCTGGAGCGTTTTGGAAAAATATTTCATGTTCAGTGTATGAAAGGATTTTTATTTCTGATGGCAGTTGTTTGGTGTTGTTCAGTGGCTTGGAAAGTTACCAGTCCATTTGCATTTCTGAATATAAGCATTTCTGTGTCTGTAAGATCTCAATTTTTTAAGGCTGGGGATGCAAAGATAAATTCCTTTAGTAGTCCTTTTTGCCAGATATCTAATCTGAGCCAGCTATTACTACATTATTTTTGATGTTATTATCACCTTGGAAGAATACTAATTCAAGAAATCAGTGTTCAGTGTTTCTATGCAAAACATTTAAGCTAAAACAAAATCAGTTTCTTCTTCCTAGTTAACTACATGAAACATGATTAATGAATGATAAAATAGAAATCTGAATGGAAATATCTCCTTTTCCAAGGTTCCAGTTAAACTGTTTTGAATTGCAAATCTGAGGATGTGAGCTAAGCGTCTTTCTAGCAGTTTACAGATTACAGTGTGATCTCACTGCCTGTCATTTCCTGTCTGTCGTCCCTTTAAGTACTTACTCCTTCATAATTATTAACTGCAGTTGGCTACTGGACTTTGAAACTGCAAACTGCTTTCCAAATAATTTGTTTCCTGCTGTATATACTTTGAAATCATATGGTTTATTATCTGTCACTGATTAAAAGTGACACAACTAAGAGGAAAAAGGTAGAAAAATTTCAATGAAAATAGGGAGCTCTTTACTGACTGTAAAATGTGACAAAGTGTCAAAACTCCATAATACGAAAAAAATAGAGCAGCTATACTTAAAATATGGTACTGATTCAGTGATGAGTAGAAAAAATGATTAGAAATAAAACTGATTGTAAGTGGAAAAAGGAGTAAACAAATATTGATATGAAGTAGAAATTGCAGGCTATAAAAATATTGATGAACAATTCAGGAAAATCCATAACCAGGTTTCAGACAAATAAGTAACACTTTTATAATAAGAGAAGAAACCCAAAGTCATTATTTGCTGAAAAAGTGCATTTGTAGATGATCATAGAATCATAGAATCAGCTGGGTTGGAAGGGACCTCCGAGATCATCAAGTCCAACCCTTGATCCACTACCACTACGGTTACTAGGCCATGGCACTACGTGCCACATCCAGTCTCTTTTTAAAAATCTCCAGGGACGGAGAATCCACTACTTCCCTGGGCAGCCCATTCCAATGGCTGATCACCCTCTCTGTAAAGAAGTTCTTTCTAATATCTAACCTAAACCTCCCCTGACACAACTTGTCTTGCTGATAATTGCCTGGGAAAAGAGACCAACCCCCACCTGGTTACAACCTCCTTTCAGGTAGTTGTAGAGAGTGATGAGGTCTCCCCTGAACCTCCTCTTCTCCAGGCTAAACAACCCCAGCTCCCTCAGCCTCTCCTCATAGGACTTGCGCTTGAGTCCCTTCACCAACCTTGTTACTCTCCTCTGGACCTGCTCCAGGACCTCAATGTCCTTCCTGAACTGAGGGGTCCAGAACTGAACACAGTACTCCAGGTGTGGCCTCACCAGCACTGAGTACAGGGGAAGAATCACTTCCTTGGACCTGCTGGCCACACTGTTCCTGATCCAGGTCAGGATGCCATTGGCCTTCTTGGCCACCTGGGTACACTGCTGGCTCATGTTCAGCTTCCTGTCGATTCAAACTCCCAGGTCCCTTTCTGCCTGGCTGCTCTCCAGCCACTCTGTCCCCAGCCTGTAGCACTGCATGGGGTTGTTGTGACCAAAGTGCAGGACCCGGCACTTGGCCTTGTTGAACCTCATCCCGTTGGAATCAGCCCAACTCTCCAGTCTGTCCAGGTCCCTCTGCAGAGCCCTCCTGCCTTACAGCTGATCGACATTCCCTCCCAGCTTAGTGATGATAAAGAGATAAAATATTCACAAATATTTTGTGAGTTTCATGCTTGGAGAGGAGTCTGATCTGTGTACAAGATGTGTGTTTAAAGAATTTTGCACTTTAGTAGCTAAGTGGTATACAAAATCACAAAATTATGATTTTTAAATCTGATTTAAATCTATGTACTCACACCCTGGATTTCTATAAGAACAGACCCTCAGTCTCTTCAGCAAATTTTTAACAAATACAGTAAAATATTATAAAAATTAAATAATTTTAGCATTGTAGAAATATTATAAGAATTATTATAATTAATATTACAAGAAATATTAAAGAAAAAAGAGAAAGGAGATAATCTACATAATTGGTTAGTCTGACAAAAGTCACAGGAAAACTACAAAATACCATTTATATGGGACTACAGTCATAAAAGCTTGATGTAGAGAACTATAATTAATGCTACTGACAATAGTTTTCCTGGAACTATGTCTTGACAAAGAAACATATAATGAGATTACAGATTTTGATGAGGCATATGATTTACTAGTGTACAAGATTCAGATTAAAAATAAACACTAGGACTCATTCAGATGAATGGCATTTTAGGTCAACAAAAGGTAAAATGATAATGCAGTCTGTGTCCACATTCGGTAGACTGACTCCTGGATACCCTTGCTCAGAAAGAGGATTTAATGTTTATACTAAATGGCAGCAGAACAAAAGATTCAATATTTGATTCAACAGCAAAATAAAGACTAATGTGAATCTTCAACATGAAGATAAAAAAGAAATTAATGAGTACACAGAGGTGAAAACAAGAGCTACACAGGAGAATTTTGGTATCAGTATTTAGATCACACAGAGGTGACCAGACTAAAGGGGGTGAGTACATTAGAGAAAAAACACAAAGCAAAAAAGGCTCTTCTGTCAAGGCAAACAAGCATAATATGAACCAGTGACTGAAAGTTAAAGCCAGAAAAATTCAAATTAGAGTAGATACCCATTACATAACACTGAAAGAGATCAACCACTTAAACAAGCTCTCAAAGTAATGAATTCTTCATGCCTTGATGTCTTCAGGTCTGGAATTTCTGGAAAATGTGCTGTGGCTAAACACAAGTTATTATTTACTGATAACCAAGTAATTAATTAATACATAACACTTTCATGAAATGTAATATCTTGTGATATAGGAAGCCAGATTGCACTCTGAAGGTATGATTTCATAGCTTTACCAGAACAGGGCACATGAGCACTTTGTCATCTATGGATGTTTATACATTGATAAGCAAAACTTAGTAGAATGAATGAAGAACTGACACTCCTTTCATCATCATTTTACAGACTCAAATATGTTGTTATTCCCTTGCCTCTTGATCCTGATCAGTGCTTCCCCTTTCTCATAAACTTCCCAGATGAAAAGCCAACACCTGTAAGCCAATGCCTGCTTGTGCTCTTCTACTGAAAAAAATGATCAGGCTCATTATTCAGCTCCTTTTATTTTAAACAGTAGAAGATATTATGTATTTTCCTGATTCACTGCTTCCTTTTTAAATGTTTAATTTGCAAGTAGTGGATTTAACGTCTATCAGTTCCACTGACAAAGAGACACTCCTTTTCAATAGCTACTAGATGAAATTCATAATCCTTCAGGAATATCATCTAATGTTAAAGATCTGAAATTATTACAGCTAGGTAAATACATATTTATCATCCCCTTATTGCAAATTTTCCCCTTGAGCTTCTCATCTTCTTCCTTGAATTTACATCTGGGTGTATCTTTAGTTCTGCTTCCTTCCTAAAGAAATAAAGAACTATTTACACAGGAGTTTTGCCATGTCAGATCCCTTGATTATCATTTGCATTCCCTTTCATTGTGTTTCAGAGACATCCTATTTCATCCTTTAACTCACTTTTTCTTTTAGTTTGCTAGGGGGAAAAAAAAATCCCACTTCCCTTCTACTCTTCTACTGTCTACAGGAATTCACTTTTGTGCTTACTTTACATCATCAGCAATTCCTGTTGTCTTTGCCATTTTTTATAGTTCTTGACACATTTTTTTCCCAGGGCTAGATCCTTTTAGGGAAAGGAAAAGCTCCAGGAAACTACATAGATTATTCTCTAAATTTTTTAGTGTGCCCTTAAACACACTACATTTTTTATTTCTTCAGCTTCCTTTTGACTGTAATATTTTTAATCCTTAAAAAAATACTTCCTATTCCTTGGTTTTTCTTAAAGAACTTGAAACTATCCTCCCATAATTTTAGTGTCCTCTAGCTTAATGTGTAAACTCTCATGGGCAGCCATAATAGTCCCGTTTTACACATTTGAACACTGGGAGAATACACACTAGTTTTGCCCATTGGTTTGTGAGCACTGGCCTGTTCCCATTTTCCCTTCATCTCTTGTGCATGTAAGAGGCTTATACCTGTACTGTAGAAAAACTCGGTACACACTTGCAGATCAATGTGTTGATAATTTAATTTCTTCCCTAAACCGTGCATATTGTAAGTGAAACATGGGAAGTGTGTGCAGGACTAGTCTTCTATCCTATTAGCTGGCAAACCCAGGAAGCACAAATTTACACTTAAAAGATCCTAAAACACTCAAGGCCACTGAACCCACCCTTCTGTGTGGATGAAAGGGCAAATTGGGATTCAGAGGACATATTTTTGCAATGTTTGCATAATGGCATTTGCCAATGTAAACCTCACTTGCAAACATATGGTGTCTTTCACTGTGAATGGTTTCTTTTTGCTATAAATGGTCCCTTTATTGAAAATGGTCTCCCTTTACCTTTTCATCTTGAACTATTTAAACTACCCAACCATCCTTTTCCTTTTT